TTGACTCTTTGATTGGATATGAAAATCTGATCCTTTCAAGAGTTAAAAATAATGTGACGGAACATCCACCAGAAAACTTATATAGGGTATAATTTCCTGATATTTGAGTGTTTCATCACCAATTCCTGTGCCAGGTCACATGTTCAGCCACTTAGCAGCTCCCACATATGAAAATACTTCCATGTTTACAGGAATATGCTGGCAAAAATCCACCCCTTCTATGAATTATTAGTCCTTTTCTGCTAATTATTTGAAAAAAGCAGAGGCGCAGGTTTTCTCACCTGAAAGGGGGATATGATAATAGTGCTGACTTGAGGCAGTATTTGAGAGGATTAAATTAGCTAGTATACAGGAAGTTAGCACTTGGTAAAGGTGTAAGTGTAAGCTGTTTTTATTGCTATGTTAATTTTGGGGAGAACATCCACTCTCTTGATTTAAAATATGGCTAAAAGTGGCTAGAATTTATTTAACATGTTTTTTTTCCCACCTAAAATTTGGATGCTTAAAGCATTGTTAAGATCTTATTATTTTCTTTTAAAGAATCCCTCCTGGCTATTTTATTTTTTGTTTTTTGAGGAAGATTGGCCCTGAGCTAACATCCGTTGCCAGTCTTCCTCCTTTTGTCCTTTTTTCTCTCCATAGCCCCAGTAGATAGTTGTATGTCGGAGTTGTACGTCCTTCTAGTTGCTCTATGTGGGACGCTGCCTCAGCATGGCTTGATGAGCGGTGTGTAGGTCCGCACCCAGGATCCGAACCGGGGAACCCTGGGCCGCCATAGCGGAGTGCGCCAAGTTAACCACTACACCACCGGGCCGGCTGTGTTAAAATCTTATTTTCATTGTTCATATTCAGTGCTCTTTGAGATGCAAATGTCAGATGTAAAACTAGACGTAAAGACTAGAGTAAACAACTAGATTATGTTTCCTCTCCTGTAACTGGAGTGGCAGGGAACGCCAGGGCATCAGAAAGAACTGGGAACAGAGACAGGGGTGCCATCAGGAGTCCCCTCTCTCTCTCCTGGCTTACCTCTGCTCATGGATCCCTCTTTCCTCTCACACAGGCTTTCTCCTTGTGGCTGGAAAATGGCCACACTGTGAATGTCATCAGGGCTGGGTTCTCATCATCCTGGTTCTCTGACAGGCGAGCAAGTGGAGCCAGCCCGGGAAAGGTTCCGTGTTGGCCTGACCTAGCTGGTCACATGCCCGTCCTGATCACCTGTGGCCAGGGAGACAGGGTGCTGTGAGGACTGGCCAGATCTCTTCATCTCACCGGCCAGGGAGGGAGAGGCAATGTGACTGGGGCCCCAGCAGAAGCAACTCACCGGCCTGGGGAAAGCAGTTCCCAAAGAAAGGAAGGTTCCATAACTTCTTTCTGTTAAGGAAAGAAGAGGGAACATGGAACCAGCAGAGGCTGATAGGTAGATGGATTGCCAGAGGGAGGGAGAGTGAGAATGGATAGATAGAGCTTTGTTTGTTTGTAAAGGAGCAATCGTTGATTGATTTATTCCTGGAGGAAGTCCTACACTTCCATATGGTAGTTCCCCTTGGAGTCACGGGAGTGTCAGCGCTGAAGGATAGTAAAGGGTAGTTTGTCACCTGGACACACAGGGGCTTATATACTGAAACTTACTCTGCAGACCAAATGACATTCAGAGGGTTTGTTTCCAGTCTCCGGTATTTGGGATCCTCCACTCTAGATTTCTGTTCTGTTGTTGGGATGTCAGTGCTATAAAGGGCAACATTTTTTTTTTTTTTTGAGGAAGATTGGCCCTGAGCCAACATCTGTTGCCAATCTTCCTCTTTTTCTTTTTTCTCCCCAAAGCCCCAGTACATAGTTGTATGTCTTAATTGTAGGTCCTTCTAGTTCTTCTGTGTAGGATACAGCCTCAGCATGGCTTGATGAACGGTGAGTAGGTCCGCGCCCAGGATCTGAACAGGTGAACCCTAGGACCCTGAAGTGGAGTGCACAAACTTCACCACTATGCCACGGGGCCAGCCCCTAAAGGGCAATTTTTTAAAGTGAAGAATCACAATTCACTATTTCTAAGTACTTCATCTAACAATGGAAAGGAAAAATCTCTCTTATGAATTGCATCCATTTCTCTATGCTACATATTTTTCTTTTTGTTGTTGCTGTTTGCTTTTTCCTGAAGAATTTAACGTGTTATACTTCTCCATATTATAAATCTCATTTAAAAAGTGTAAAATCAAGGAAGTCTGCCAGCTACTTTTGTTTTCTCTGCTTTTCTCTCCATGTTGGACTGCTCTGGCAAAGGAGAGTAATATTACCTTACCATGTAAAACATGGCTAATGGCTTTAAAAGAATTCCCCCGCAACTGAATAATGGGCTGCTGAAAATGTTCTTGGTGCCAGAGGATCTGAATATGTCTGTTCCTTTATCGTGTGTTTCTCATTTCATCATGGCTAAGTGCTCACAAAAGACATAAAAACGCAAACCTCTAGGGTATGTAGTGTTTGAGGGCAGAAACCATATTTTAATATCTTCAGTCCTCTACCTAACATTTCAGATGGTCAGTAGAGGATCAATGGCAAACAGTGATGGATGCCCATGGTATGGAAGACCCTCGAATTATTAATTAAACTGACTTCTCGTGTCTAGAAGAAAGTCGTTGTTCCACCAGCTCTATTGTGCTTGGTTGAGTGGTTTAGTAATGTTTATTCTAAAGAGTACTGGAAGTCCCGCACCAGAAACTTTTAACTTGTTCTGCCTGTTGGAATAAGTTTACTTTTCTCAGAAATAAGAAGATGGAACCTATTTCTTCTTTATTTCCTAACTAAAGCTCCATCTTCTAAAAGCCTTTTAGTGCAGTTTAGCAAAGTCATTTATTTTCATTTTACCTTGATAATAAGTTGAGTCTATTAAAAAAGGAGTTATCTTAAAAATTTATTTAAAAAGTCAATTTAGGAATATACTAAGAAGATCAGAGAAAAAAATGCAAAGGTAGAAAAATTTAAAAGATGCTTCATTTCTCACTGGAAGGAAGAGAAGTCAAAAAAAGTAGCATCTACACCCCCTCAGCAGCCACCCCCACTCCCCTAGACCCTGCCCACTTGGTCTGCCCCAGACTGTCTGTCTGGTTCTCCCTTGGCAGGGGACTCAATCTCTCTGCTTCTCAGTTTGGCCTGGCGGTTGCCAGTTGCCCTGGAATACCATGTGGTCTCTGACTCAGGTTGTGTAGTCTTCGCCAGTGTCTTAATTGCTAGGATCTCAGGGGAAGGATGATTGTCTTCAAAGAATTCCTGAAATAAGGATTCTTAATTGTTTTGCGTGTGACTCACAGCACAGATGGAATTCATATGGGGCCCACTCCCCTGGGCCGGGGGCCATAAGAAATTCCTGGGCTGGTTGACTGAAATTCCACGTCTTTCACTCCTACTCAGCAAAGCATATTGGAATCCAGTTGGATCAGAGTGACTTCATCACAGAGATAAGCCTGAATCTGCTTTAAATTTGTGTGTGCATATGTGTGTTTAATTCATATATGAAATTTAGTCCTTCATTATTTATAAAAATTATTTAAAATGCTCAATCATAGCCAAGTAGTATGTACCCAAACCCTGTGGTCAGGCACCATGTTTGTGCTCTCTTGGGACTACTTCAGTCCTCAGAGAGGGCCCAGGAAACTAGTCCTGTATAATCTTCTGCCTTTCCAGAAAGTCTGTCTGATTTTGAGGAGACACTGAGTGGCCACCTGAAGATTATACATGTGAGGCAGAGTTCTTAAGGAAGAAACATAAGCACCATCCTGATTTATTGTGACTTTAGGAAAAGAAGCAAGGTAGCTTTATAGCTGCCTCTGGAGACCATTGCTGAATCCTCTGCTTCCTGTTTGCAGAACTAAATTGCACAGAAAGGCAGTTATTATCTGCTGTGATTATCAAGCAACTGGTGCACAGCACAAGTTATGAATTTAGGACTAGGTGGGTGTTTACTTGAAATAGTTACTGAAATCAAAATATTTTTGCCACTGACTGAGCATCAGGAAAATGTAAAACTATGGGTTAAGCACAAACTCTTAACTTTTGTAAATGCAGAATTTTTATTAGAATGGTCTTTGATAAAAATTAGCACTTTTCTTTATATCAAGTACTGGGAAAGTTATCATGTCTATAATGTAGGGAAGAATTATTGCAAGGAAAAATAGTAGAAAATCTTTTTTATACCCAGCTGTTCTTTTGTGGATTTGGATATACTATTCCTCAAATCATGTCACTTGAAACAACATTTTTGCATTCAAGAGACTTCTGATTTAAATGTTTAGCTAAAAAAAAGGGGGTGGCGGGGGCCAGCCTGGTGGCGCAAGTGGTTAAGTGCGCGCGCTCTGCTGCGGTGGCCCAGGGTTTGCCGGTTCGGATCCTGGGCGCGCACTGACACACTGCTTGGCACGCCATGCTGTGGTGGTGTCCCATATAAAGTGGAGGAAGATGGGCACGGATGTTAGCCCAGGGCCAGTGTTCCTCAGCAGAGAAAGAGGAGGATTGGCAGATGTTAGCACAGGGCTGATCTCCTCACCAAAAAAAAAAAAAAAAAGAGGGGGAGGATGTTAACCCTGTGCTTCCACATTGGTGAGATAAAGCCATGGTGTATAATGAGCTGTAACTTCAGTGTGTTATTTAGCTTTCCCTGTGCTACACAAAATTAAAAGTTAAATTTTAGAGAGTACAGGTTACAGTATGCTGTTTCATTATTTTGAAGAGGAGAGTTGCTCATATTATTCTGAACCAAACACATTTGGACTTTTAGAGAATGACTTAGTGGCCTACTGCTTTCCCAGGGGAAAGGGTAGAGCTTTGTCACATTGCAGGGAATATGCACTTAAATCCTTATGTGGAATGTTCTTTAAAAAGCCAGTTGGGGACCGGAGATGAGGAGTGAGCCATTTGAGGAAGAAGAAAGTCTTCCACTTACATGTAAAACCGATTAACTGCCAGGATGTGTGAAGACAGGACAAAGCTTTCCGGATACTTGATGTGCGCTGATGGTGGTTCTTCCTTCTGTTACAGGCTCCACGTGGGAAAAGACATTTCGGCAGATTGGCTTTGAAAGGTAAGCAGGGTTTAGCATGTCTCCACTGTTAGCTACTAAGATCTTCTTTTATTCTAAGTAATTTATTGATGATAAATCAGTGGTCTTGCTACCACTACTTCAGTGACACGTGCGCTTGAATAAGTCATCATTTTGCCCCCTGAGACTCAATTTCTTGGTAAAGTAGAGCTTTACTTTCCTTATAAAATCCTTGCTTGCACACGGAGTGGACATGAAGGTTAAATGGAGCAATTTATTTGAAAATGCTTCTTAAACTGTGAAACAGTATAAAAGGTAAGTTGTATAATGAGAGAATTACATGAATTAGAGTTCATGATTACAGGAATTAGAGTTTACTCTCTCCCAGCTCATTCACCTCATGTGTCATATTCAGTTCTACAGTTTTAGTACAGAGAAATTTATATTTATATTGATATCTTCTCAATTATTAAAATTATTGGGTCTTATTAGCTCTAAGTAAAAGGCTGAGATCACGTCACTCTTAGCTAAAAGCATTTCTACACCAACATCTCCTCTAAAGGAAAAAAATTGACTCATTATAACATCAGAAAATGTAGACGAAGGGTCAGTAAAGTTACTAAGCCACCTGCCCTTGGAACTGAATGGCAGCCTGTCGGATCGATCTCTCCCAGCGGCATTTAGTATCTTATATTGAACTTGCAATGTAGGTACCGCTATTGAGAGAGAGAAAAGTAATTTTAATTTTTTTTACTCTAAAAGTAGATTTTGACTAGTTCTTTTCATCATATTGGAAATGTGTTTTTATGTTCATTGATCAAGCTGACAGTGCTTAAAGCATGTAAAAAAAAATAACAAAATACTTTAAAATCCATTATTTCTCCAGTAGCAAGTGAGACTAGCTCATCACCAGGTGGCCTGTGATGGCATTTCTTGTACCATTTTTTAACTGGTTCAAAGATTCATTTATTTCTCTGCGTAAACTTTCACTCAGTCAGCACCATCACTGTTGGGTCCCACAGTAAGTCCTTATACTTAGTTCTGAAGGTTACTGGAGGAGGCTAGCTGGGAAGGGCAGATGCCACAGGCCAACTTAAAACAGAGAATGGAAGATCCAGCGCAGCTTCATGTCCTGTGAAATCTTTCCCCAGAGCATCTTTCTCTTGATTCTTCTTTCATATTATGAAAAAACGTCAAAATACACAAATGGAGAGAGACCAGCAAATTGAACGTCACAGATCCATTTCCCACCTTCAGTAAGACTTTGGCATTCTTGCTTTAGCTATATTTTTGGGGGACGGCTGAAACATTTTAAAGAAAATCTCAGATATCGTGTCATTTTGTCCCTACATAGGTCTGTATACATCTCTGAAAAAAAATGGGTGTTTTCTTCTAGAATCTTAATGCCACTACCATACCAAACACAAACAAGTCCTTAGCATCCTTTTTTTTTTGTGTGTGTGAGGAAGATCGGCCCTGAGCTAACATCTGCCAATCCTCCTCTCTTTGCTGAGGAAGACTGGCCTTGGGCTAACATCCAGCCCATCTTCCTCCAGTTTATATGGGACGCCGCCAGAGCATGGCTTGACAAGTGGTGCGTTGATGCGCGCCCGGAATCCGAACCGGCGAACCCCGGGGCCGCCGCAGCAGAGCACGCGCACTTACCCGCTTGTGCCACAGGGCCGGGCTCTTTAGCATCCTTTAATACCCAGTCAATGTTTAAATTTCCTGATCATCTCAGAAATGTCATTTTACAAATACTGGTTTGCATCAGCATGCTACTAAAGCCCACATGTTCCGTTTTGATCTGTTAAGCCTCTTGATGCCCTCAATTACCTCCCAACTTCATTTTTTTTTTTTTCTTTACATCATTAACCTCTGAAGAAATCAGGTCACTTGTCTTGTAGAAAGTCTCACATTCTGGATTTGTCTGTGGTATTGTTTAACTTGTTGTTCTCTCCTGTATTTTATGTAAACTCAAATTGCTCCCTTTCAGTCATTGGGAGCGTGTTGACTCCTTGTCATGTCTTGTCCATTGGATGCAGGCACTGGTCTTTTATGGTTTCCATGTTTCTAGCACAACTAGACATACCACGTCCATCCAGGATTTGGACCTGGAATCAGCCATTCCTCCAGGGAGCCCTTCCTCCTTTGTGGAGAACGGTATTTGGAAACCACAATCTATAAATCTATAAATACTAGGGATGCTCATCAATTCTGGAGTGGCATTGTTTCTGGGCCTTTTCAATAGATGGAGCTAGGAAATACCTTTTTTAAGAAAAATCAATCCTAAAGTCTTACAATATTTCCAATTCAAATGTAACATTACAGAATTTTTAACTTCTCTGATATTACATTTGTATCTCTTTTCTTTTTCACTGAAAATCTTAGTTCTTAACAGAACTTGTTTCATTTTCATGTATACATAGTATTTTTAAAACTAATACTAATGTTACCACTAATAATAAGACTACTGAATGAAGTTTTAAAAATTTGCACTGTCTTAATTTTATATTCCATTAAGGATGTAATTTTATATTCCATTAAGGATGTACAACCAAAAGACTGAAAACTAAAGTTGCTTGAAATTTTTTTTCTCTATGTGGTCGTATCCTGTTTTATATATAATTTGGCTCATTTGTTTTGGAATCTTTTTAATTTCAACAGATGTTTTCCTTTTGATTTCATTTCATTTTTGAATATATAACATTTATATGTCTCCAAGTACAAATCACATGACAAAGTTTTTTCAGAGAAATGTCACCTTCATCCCTTTCCCTTGTGCTCAGTTCTTTCTTTCTTCTAAACAATTACCAGGGTTATTAGCTTTTGGTTTAACCTTCAGATGTGTATTTCTGCATATGTAATCTAATACTTATGTATATCTGTGGCCTTGCCCGGTTATTGCATGAAGAGTTGCATATGATATACATTATTCTGCACTTTAATTTTTCACTGAGAGTGTATCCTGGAGATGATTCCACATCAGTTTATATAAGTGTTTGTCATTTCACTAACCTGCTGATGGTGTCCTTTGTGTGGATGAGCTAACACAAAGAATGAGATTGGTCAAATCCAGGGTCTTGTCCAGTATGGAGCTTTACTAATAATGTCAAGGATCCAAGTGACCAAGGGACACTGGTAATGCAGGGAGAAATCCAGGATATCCCATGTGGCTCCCCAGGTCCTTCTTTTTACTCCAAACCCATGCTCTAGACCACGAAGTTTCTAATGAGGTTTGCAGGTTCCTCACATAGCAGGGAGCATTTAATTTTGCCACATCTCCAGTTAAGACCTAAGAAATTTGAATAGCTCCTGTTGCACTATCCAGGCAGTCATGCCTTATAAATCTATGGGTTGAAGATTTATTTCCCATAACATCTTAAACCAGGGATTTCCTGCTCGAAGCACTCCACTCACTCGTCAGAACTCTCTCCCAAGCAAAAAAATTCATTAAGCTATTTGCTCAGTTATCTAGTTCACATGTTTACAAGGAGCCTAAATCAGGTCCCCTACCTTCTTGCCCCCATCCCACTGTCTCCTTGGTAAATGGGGAGGGCTCACAGGCTGCTTGCTTTGACTCCTCCTTCCCCAGTACCCTACGGGTGGACATTGAGTTTTTTCCAAGTCTTTTGCTCTTATAGAAAAATGTTATAATGAATAACCTTGCACACACTTGTATATTTGCCAGCTATCTTATGGATAGATTCCCAAGTACAATCAAAGAGTAAATTCATACAGAACTTGGCTAAATATTGCTAAGTTTCTCTCCCCAGAGTTTCAACAATTTGCACTCCCACTAACAACGCGAGAGAGTGACTATTTCCCCAGAGCCTCACCAACAGAATATGCTGTCAAACTTGAGGTTTTGCCAATCTGGTAGGTGAGAAATGGTATCTCAGTGTCCTTTTAATTTGCATTTATCCTGGGTCATTTTTCATAGAGTAAAGCACAGGTCGAGATTCTTCACTATCTCCTAAGTGAAGCACTTTGAGGAAGAACTTCTTCTAAGATAATTAAAATTTCATCTATCAACAGGATTTGGTGATTGAAACATTTTCTTCCTGGCTTACATGACCTTAACCTTTGCTTACTTGAATAATGATTTAATGCAAACAGCTACCATGTGCCAAACACCATGTTAAATAATTTCTAGTCCGTATGACAACCCTGTAGACCAGGGATTGGCAAACTTTTACTGTAAAGGACAGATAGTAAACATTTTCAGGTTTTATAGGCCATACAATTTCTGCTGCACCTTCTCAGTTTTGCCATTATAACAGAAAGCAGACATAGACAATGAAGATGGCTGCATTCCAATCAGACTTGATTTACAAAAACAGGCAGCTGGCAGGACTTGGCTGCTGGCTATCTTTTGTCCCCACTGTAGACTGGTCACCATCTCACAGGTAAAGAAATTCAGATCAAGTAGTCTACCCGTTTGTATTGACCTGCATTCAGTTCCAGGTTTGCCTGGTTCCAAAGACTAAGATTTTTGCACCAAACCACACTAAAATCTTGAATTATAGACCTTGTTTGTTTTGTGTTGTTTTATTTTTCCTATCTCTGTGGCTCTGGGACATAATCTCAAGTCACACGTCTTTTTGACTGTTCTCGTTTTATGAATACTTTAATAAAGCCAGATACTACAAACTCCATATTACAAGGCCTCCCTATTTGTTATGCTTCCAAATAGGCATACAAATAAAAATATTATTAAGGAATATATAAAATGATATGCTTTATTTTTTAACAGTAGTCTCAGTTTGGTGATCATCCTGATTTTTAGATATCATCTTAAAACATTATCCTGTGTTTTCCCATAATATCCCATGTTTTCTCATTTAAGGGCAGAGAGTATTCTCTGTATTGCATCAAGTGTCTTAAAATATAGAACAGTTATTGACCTTTGGATTTATTGTGCATTTACAGTTGCAAAGACTGTGTCAAGCAGTGGTGTTAAATATGGCTTTGCTTTTTTCTTCTCAAGTTGAACGTCTTCTTTCTCTTAAAGGGAATTCCAATTCTATCTTAAATGAAGC